CGGTCTGCATGCAAGCAGGGAGCGTTACTCACCTGTTTTCACGACTGTGTCACCTACAGCTGCACGTCATGTGCAGGTCAAACCTCGCCTGCAACTGATCTCAAAATAACCTCAGCGTCGGTTCCCCAGCTGGTTGTTACGTCATGACACGAGGCCACGTGTTGACCGAGCGCTTGGCGCGAACTTACACCAACTGATTGCACCTGTTTGCTTACGAGACACTCCTTCAACTGCTGTCGTTAATGAATGACCGACGGACAGGACACTCCACTAACTTAGCGCTGCAGAATATTATTTAGCGCCTTTGTATTAATCACCGAGTTTATTTACTTCATCTCCAATGATGATACAGGAGGGATGAAGGGCTGGGAAAACTCGAAACAGACGCGTGTGGTGGACGTACAGTGTGTCATTATGTCTAACCAACCGATCAGCTAATTAACAAAAATAACCAAGCAATCAACCAGCTAATCAACTACTCAAGTTAACAACCAAATAACCACGTACCCAACTCCAACCATCCGGTAGGACTCCTTGGGCGGGGCATCAGCCCGCCGCAAGACCGCTACCTGCACACAGGACAGCAAAAACATGCCTTTAGTGGGATTCGAACCCACGATCCCAGCGTCTGAGCGAGCGAAGACCGCTTTAGACCGCGCGGCCACTGAGTAGGTTCCACCTGAAGACAGACAGAATCCAGTCTCGGAAACGTTGTGTGTTTTAAATAAAAACAAGACAATGGATAATATCCAGAAACAGGACAACTGTACTCGTCAGACCTGTTCTGTTCGTGAGACGCACAGCAGTTTCGTTGTCTTTCCCTACTCGACACTGCTTGTTCCTTCTCTTGTGTGAGCTGGCGACATCCGACTAACCGCTTTTCAGCACGGAGCTCGTTCTCAGCAGAAGCGGTAAAACTGAGAGAGAAATGTCAGATTCCAGTGATAAATATCGCGTTAGCTGTTTATTGCGAGGGACGAACATGAGGCTAATAACACTGGCTTCAAGAAAACCACAAACGGGGAGTTCTGTTTCAGCTCCACATGTATGCTAAATGCCATGTCCATCAAATCATTAATTTAATCAACGTCATCATCATCATCATAATGTCACTGCAAATAATTACGTTCAACCTTATGGCATTCGGGTGCCCTCCCAGGCTCAAGTTCTAGTGCTTTGTAGTAGTCCGTGTTGTGCTCCAAACGTTCATACACTGTCATCTCCAGCGCGACATGTGCCCCATTCAGGCAAAGTTGCGAATACTGCCTTAAAACAAAGCACGCCTGACGACACGCCTACCAGATCTTTTCCGAGTATTCCGTACAAGACTGTAATTCCCCAACGCTTGTTATTCTGTTGTTATGCGCATCATCAGGAAGTTACGAATAAGAACTGAAGATGACAGTTAGGCCACGTCATAGCTCAAACGGTTAGTTGCTGGCTTCCCACCGCTGCGGCCTGGGTTCGAACCCAGCTCTGGTCAAGTGCGATTTGTGGTGGACAAAGAGGCGCTGGGGCAGGTTTTCTTCGAGTACTTCGGTTTCCCCTGCCAATCTTCATTCCACCAATTGCTCCATCATCATCATCACCACCCGGGGCAGGCACAATAAGCCAATCAGTGGCCCACGTGCCGAGTGGACCCAGCTGCACTCCACCCCCACTAGGCGATTTAAAAAAAAATGGAAAGCAGTGGAAGGTATGCCGAGCGAAAACAGAATCATAGCTTGCCTCTAGATAGCAGCACCGCTTAGTGAATATTATTATATCAAGTTCAGTACCTCAGTGTAAATGTGACATTTTTTTCCAGAAATTTTGAAGATCACAGCGTGAATATTAAGTGATATCGTGACATCAGAATGTCCCTGAAGTGCCGTGGATCACACTAAAATAAATACAGAGTGACCAAGTAGGGTACTGATAAATTTCAGACAGAATTTTCAACGTACTCCATTGTAATCATGTTGATGTTTATCTACCAGACCTCGTAAGCTTAGCAGCTGGTACAAACTCGTAAAATAGTTATTCGCGCGTCTTTTAGATCTTCCTGCATCGCATCTGACTTTTATTTTTGCACTAAATTTGGCGTGAAATCTTATTTCTGATGTGTGTCTGTCTCATTTCCATCTCCCAGGCGGACTGCCGTGGCGGTAATGTTCCACACTCCTTGTCGGATGGTCCAGTGTTCACACTTTTATCAGGACACTGGTTACCTTGAGTAAGGCCTTTCGTGGTTTTCCTCAGGCGTTCCAGGCAAACTCCGAAATAGGATCATATTGCCTGAGCTACTATCCATCCATCTATATATCTCGGGCTCTACAGCCCTCTGTTGGACCTTGGCCTCTTTTTCAGTTTCTTATCCTACACACAGTCGGTAGAACTCCTTAGACAGGGGGATCAGCCCGTCGCAAGGCATCTACCTACACACAGAACAACACAAACACAAAATGAACGCGCACAGACATACATGCCTTGAGTGGGATTCGAACCCACGATCCCAGAGTTCGAGCGAGCGAAGACAATTCATGCCTCAGACCACGCAGCCACTGTGATCGGCTCTGAGCTACTGACGGCATCGTTAAATTACATGCACTCCTTAAACTTTTTTAACTGCCTTTGAGATTGTAAGATTTTCTGCTCAGAATCATGGGATTCAGTTTGATAACGCATTATGTTTTGGTTGACTCCTCGTGGATCACCCTGTATAAACTTATCAGTTGATAAGGTACAGGTAAAGTTGTCCCTGTGCTTAATTAGTTATGCATGATGTCATGAAGACATATGGGGGGAGTTGAGGTATGGTTCAACCTTTCTTGACCTTGGCACTAGATGGAGGTGAATGATTAGCTTCACGGCCCTGCCGCTCTAACACTGGAGAAAAAGCTGCCGGTACCCACTGGACTGGAGGCTAGGCGGGCCCCCAGAGTCGATCTGGGCTCTGGGAATAGAAACACTGGCCGACCAGCCCGTAGCCCGTCGCTATTCCGACTCCTTTCAATTGACACCACTCACTCACTCATGGAGCTGAGCCCTTCTTGAGAAGAAGCCAACTGTGTAGTACTCAAGAACTTCCCAGCAATTTATGGAACCAGAAGGTTCATTACCGTGTTTACAAGAGCCCTCCACTGCTCCCTATCCTGAGCCAGATGGATGCAGTCCATACCATCCCACCTTATCTGAGATCCATTTTAATGTCTTGGTCTTCCTAGTGGTCTCTTTCCTTCTGGCTTTTCCACCAATATACTGTATACATTCCTCTTCGACCCATTCATGCTACATGCCCTTCCCATCTGATCCTCCTCGGCTTGATTATTCTAATTATACTTGGAGAAGAGTACAAGTTATGTAGCTCCTCATTATGCAGTTTTCTCCAACCTCCTGTCACTTCATCTCTCTTCGGTCCAGATATTCTCCTCAACACCCTGTTCTCAAACACCCTCAGTCTATGTTCCTCCCTTAATGTCAGAGACCAAGTTTGGCACCCAAACAGAACGACGGGCAAAATTTCAGTTGACACACATTTTAAAATGACCGAATAAGAGAATAAACTCTTCAGCAAGTGTTTGGGAATTCACGCTCATGGGAGCGCCAAGAGAACTTATTGAATTGGCCAGCAAATGGCACCTAATTTGTGAATAGATTGAGTCATCAGCGGGTAGGAACAGCCACTTATTTACCGCGCGTCACCTTCACTTTGTTTATCATCCCAAAACTATTCAATGGGCCTCTGTGAGGTTCAGTTGGGGGTGCAGGCTTGTAAACAGATGTGTTCTGTCGACGTGCCAGTCAAATGTAACGTAACCTCTGTTTTACACGAATAACGCAGGCCAGTTCAGTTTATCGTTTGACCGGCTCTCAGCAACGCCGCGGATATCGCCACGCAGCACGACCGTCAATCTGCGGCGCTCAGACCGCACACAACAGTATCAGATGCATAAAGACCGGAATATCTTATGAAAATGTATGCTTATCATGGAATGTAGTTTAACTAACATTTATTAGAAGTGAGTCAGGGAATCGAGACCGCCTCTGTGGTCTAGTGGTCAGAGTTCCTGGCTACAGATCCGGAGGTCCCGGGTTAGATTCCCGGCGCTATCAGATTTTCTGAGAAGTAGTGGGTCTGGAGCGGAGTTCACTCAGCCTTGTGAGGATAATTGAGGAGCTATTTCAAGGAAATAGCGGCTCCGGTCTAGAAAACCGAGACTAACGGCCGTGGGGATCCTTTGCGCTGACCACGTGACACCCTCTGTCCGCAAAAGTTGGCACTAACTTCGCCGACAAGCGGCGGTCGCTCGGTTGGTATAGTTCGTATGCGGACTGAAGCCACGGAGTTTGTTTTGTTTGTCTGTTTGTTTGTGTCAGGGAATCGAATCACGATTCTTAGACCGCTCAGCCCGTATAAGCTTTGGGGATCACATAGCTCCTATCCAGTGCATAGCTGTGGCTCTTTCTCGGAGGACAAAGCGGCCGGGGCGTGACGCTGACCACTCACCTCCACATGATTGTGAGATTAACGCCTGTATGTATATCTCCACTCCCCCATACGTCTTAATGGCGTAGTGCTTAATTAGATAAGCACAGGACAACTCAATGACTATGAAGAATACTCTCATCTGGGATGTGACATCGTGTAGTCTGGCAGGGATTCATATCCCAGCAAACAGCATTTTTTTTTTGATGTGACTGATATTTAGTGAAATGCAAGAAAAGTATGTTATACGTTTATGTGTATCTCCAGCATAATACATGTCCCTTTGTTCTGAAACGACGCACCAGCATATGTATGTGTATTAAATGAACTATTCAACAGTGCGGTATGTAAAACCATAAAGCACTTATTCAGAAAGTGTTACATATTACAAATTTTGTACGCAAGTCATACATTTCCACCATTATTCATGACGTGAAATGAAGTTAATACAAGGTATAAAATATCAACACCCTGTAGCATTACAACTTCAGTGAGACAAATTATAAACACAACGTCATCAGACTGGACTTGCCTCGTTCTGAGTTTGGACCCCGTTTTGTGTCCGCGTCACCATCCGTGGCAGAAATGATCGGAACTGGTGGTGAAATGGAGACACCTGTGACGTCATCCCGCGTCACTTCCGTGTCCCCGTGAGCCATTATCGTACCTGGAACACAAGTAACTGCAATAACACACTACGGCCGTATAACTGGGCATTATTATACTCCTTATAATATGAAGTATAGACCAGTGTTTCTCAAACAGTGGGGCTCGACGTTTAGCTGAGTGGAACGTGGGGGGTTCGATAATGGCAACTGATTCAGATGCGCAAGTCAAGTATACAAAGCGCTCCTCCAATTTAAGCACAGGATTCTCCGCAATGTTGCACTGTGCTTGTATTTTTAAATTATACATAAACTCATTGTTTTCCTTTATTATGTTAATGAAATTAAACGTATAAAACTGTAGGGTATGATGTTCTCACAAAAGTGGTTATGAAGAGTTCTGTCTTCTGGGTTAGTGTAATGTAGTTCTTTGAAAGTCAAGTTACGTTTCGGAGGAATATGTCGCCTCCATCTTCAGGGTTGAGGAGTATTCCGTATTGAGGGGGTGGGTTTCCCCATGCACTTAGACCGGTTACTGGTCCATTGTGCGTCCCCCTTTAATTTCTACTGTCTCCATACCCTACCGGTACTGGTGCTTACTATCAGCCCCTTTCTGCCAGCGAGGTTCCAACTGGCAGTGGTATCTAATAGTTAGTCCCTTTCTGTCAGCGAGGTCGTCCCTCCTCTGGCAGGGGTTCCTAGTCCCTTTCTGCCAGCAAGGTTTCTACCCTCTACTTGGCAGTGGTATCTAATACTTTAGTCCCTTTCTGTCAGAGAGGTCCCCCCTCCTCTGGCAGTGTACCTGATACTTCTCCCATCTACCGGAGGAATTTGAAACTAGTTGGGCGGGAAACTTGGCGTAATTTTGCTCAGAGGTCTCCTAGAGACATGAGGTTCTTTTACGTGCCGTAAATCTACGACACGGGACCCACGGCTTAAAGCCCCTCCCGGAGGATTTGTTCACTGAATTTTTCCGCCCTTAAAAATTCTACGATCTCCGCCGGGTTTTTGAACCCGCGTACCTTGAGTCATGGGGTGGGAACGTTACCCCGAGGCCGCTTGGGTTGAGGAGTAAGGAGGGCAAGAAACCAGCGTGGAACAGGCAGAAAACAGAGTTTTATTTTATAACTTGTACTCTTCTCCGAGTATAATTAGAATGATCAAGTCAAGGAGGATGAGGTGGCAGGGAATGTAACACGAGTGGGGGAGATGAGTAATACATATAGGACATTGGTGGGTAAGCCAGAGAGAAAGAGACCACTAGGAATACCAAGGCGTAGGTGGGTGGACAATATTAAAATGGATCTTAGAGAGATAGGATGGGATGGGATGGATTGGATTGATCTGGCTCAGTATATGGACCAGTGGAGGACACTTGTGAATACGATAATGAACCTTCGGGTTCCATAAAATGCATGGAAGTTCTTGAGTAGCTGCACAAGCGGCGGCTCCTCAAGAAGGGCTCAGCTCCGAGAGTAAGAGAGGCTGTGAGGGGGTTGTGCTGCGCTAGGGACGGAAGTGGGCGGGCGAGTGATACATGCTGCAGTGTCATGTTTGCACAGACGGGGAACAAGTATATATAGAAGATCGGCAAAAAGATTCACGGAGAGCTATGGCCCAACTAAGTAACTAACTAACAAACCAACCAACGAAGTAGCCAAGACACATAGCTATTAACTAAATCTTTCGCAATTAAGTCGGACAGTTCAACACAACCGAGGCAGTTAAATTCGGTTAAATCCGATTGAAACCGGTTTTCATGACAGCAATGTTGTTCTCACTGTATGCATCTGTTCATGTGACGTCACGGGAACACTGTATCTGTGTTGGATGACGGATCACTATGATCAGTGGCGTGCAGCCAAGTCTTGTTCGGCGAGTTTCCTTCTGGCTTGTCGTCTCCCGCCCCCCGCCCCCCCCCGGTTCGCTTTTACGTACAACTCAGACAGAAAATTTAAAAATTGTACAATGGTTAATTAAATACCTGCCATAGATATGTATGGGGGACTGGAAGTATAGATCCTCGGAGTTTTTGTCTATAAATACAAGATCCACTTAAACTAGCAGGCAGAATAAAAGTGTAAGTAGAAGCCAAAGTTATCCCTGTACTTAATTATGTAATTAAGCACTATGCCATGAAGGTGTGTGTGGGAGTGGAGATATAGTTCCACCTTTAACCTCGGCACTTGATGGAGATGAGTGGTCAGTTTCACGTCCAGGCCGCTTTATCTCCTGGGAATGAGCCCTCGGTACCCACTGGATAGGAGGCTCAGTAGTCTTTATACACGTACAACCGAGCCTGAAAGCCATGGAGAAAAGAATAATTGTGTTACTGATAACGGGAATCGAACCCTGGTTGTCAAGCCTGCAGCACAGTCGCTTTACCGGGATATTTCGGCTCCAGCGGCCAGAATAATTACGAAAAATTACTGTATTTATTTATGGAAATCCGGTTAAAACAGCCGGTTATATCATGTTCGGGGAGAACCCAACACGACGTTGCTAGGATACGGGTAAAAGAAAATTGAAGAAGAGAGGAAAGAAGATGAAGATATAAAAGAAAAAAGGAATGACAAAGAAAGACGAAGTATCCCCCTCACTGGTGGGCCATGCACTAGTAGGCCTAATCGCAGAGCGACATGGGGAGGGGTAGGACGCGCAGTAGCGTAGGTGGTTGAGGCACTATGCTACAAACCGGAAGGTCGCGGGTTTGAGTCCCGATGTGGTAATTGGATTTTTCAATTACCTAATCCTTCCAGCAGCACTATGGCCCCGTGGTCCACTCAGGCTCTAACAGAAATGAGTACCAGGAATCTTCCTGGGGTAAAGGGCGGCCGGCGCGTAAGGCTAACAACCTCACCGCCATCTGTGAGCCTGCTGTCTAGAAAATGTGGGAGCCTCGACGTCTCACAACCCTGTGGGTCTCCACGGCCTGTTACAGGGATAGCTTTACTTTTTTTACCATAGTGACATGGCTTCGCCCACACATTATTTTACACATATGTAGGCGAGCAATAAGCATCACGCTCCGGCCGCTTGAAACTCGTTACCCACTGGACAGGACGTTTGGGTCCAGTCTGGAAAGAAACCTGCGTCTTGTACCGGGCATCCGGCTCTCCGCATTGGCCATCAAGGCCAGTCAAATGTCCGCAACAGCCAACCGGCAGGCCTCCGGTTCACGGCTGTTCACAGCAGCAAGAACAAATGGGCGCCACGTCACGCCACTGGGCTCCTTCTCCGTCTCTCTCCCTCACCCTCACGCTTTCCTCTTACCCCTCCTTTCTTCGTTTGTCCTCCTCCCCCTCCTTCTTCTTCTTCTTCTTCTTCTTCTTCTACCTTGACGGATTAGGCCTGTTCCCATTCAGAATTAATTTTGAAATTATGAATCTCAGAGATACTTGGGCGAGCCGAGTTAGCGCAGTCGGTATAGCGGCTGGCTACGGGCTCGAAGACAGAGGGATCGGTGATCGAGCCCCAGTAGGATCAAGAATTTTCTCTTCTCCACGCCGTCCAGACCGTCTCTGGGGCCAGCCAACCTCCTATCCAATGGGTAACCGAGGCTATTTACCCGGGAGTAAAGCGGCCGCGGCGTGAAGCTGACTACTCACCTCCAATTAATGCCGAGGTCAAGAATACGAGGATCTATACATCCACTCCCCAATACGTCTTCATGGCGTATTGCTGAATTATATTAAGCACAGGGACAACTTTACCTTACAGACGGCTGGATGAGTGGATCCGCCCTGTCCCAGGGCGGTTACCTAAGCAGGACAACACGAAAACAGAAACATCATGTCTCGAGTGGGATTCGAATCCACGATCGCAGTGTTTGTGCCGGCGACGATATTTCGTGCCCCATTCAGAATTAATGCGACTTACAGACGGCGCCGCCTTATATCCAGGCCTTTGCGGACACAGGACGGCACATGCACCAGCGCAGCCCAGTGTCGAGTGATAGGAGACAGCACGGCGTGACCCAGCGTCTCCACTTAACGTCCCAGTCAGGAGAACCTGGGTTCAAACCTCAGTCAGGATATTGACTATTCTAACGTAGGATTTTCGTGGTTGTCTTCAGTCACTTCGGACAAACATTTGCACAGTATGTAAAATAAGGCCACGACCATCATGTTCTTCGTCCGTTCCAATTCATTATTCCCTGATCATCTCAACTTCCGGCCCTGTAATTCTGAGGCGCTAACTAACTCAGGGAGCTGGGCGCCTCTTAGGAAACCGTCAGTTGTTCACCTACTCAAGAATCTAGCAACATAGTATGGAACCCGAAGGTTCATTACCGTGTTCGCGAGAGCCATCCACTGGTCCGTATCCTGAGCCAGATCAATCCAGCCCATTTCTCCGAGGCCTATTTTAATATTATTTTCCCGCCTATGTCTGAGTCTCCAGAGTGATTTCTTTCCATCTGGCTTTCCCAGCCTATATGCATCCGGCTTATCCATCATGCGTGCTGCATGCCCTGCCCACATCATCCTCCTTGACTTGATCATTATAGTTATACTTGGAGAACAGTACAAGTTATGAAGCTCCTCATTACGCAGTTTTTTCCAACCTCCTGTCACTTCATTTCTCTTCGGTCCAAATATTCTCCTCAACACCCTGTTGTCAGACTCCCTCAGTCTATGTCCCTCCCTTAATGTCAGAGATCAAGTTTCACACCCATACAGAACCACAGGCAAAATTATCGTTTCGTATATTCTGACTTTTATGTTTTCAGACAGCAGATGAGAATACAAAAGCCTCTGGACTGAACGGTAGCAAGCATTACCCGAGTTCAATCGCCTCCTAATTTCTTCTGACCCAAAATTTGGTAGTCTGCGTTACAGACAGTGTCTAGGGAGCAGCCCTCATTTTCCAGTAGGGTAGGAACCTCAGTTCGAGGGCACACAGATGGATGAATTCATTCCCTACATTTTCCCACCACTTTTCACTGAGAGTTAACGCGTAACACGAACTGACTTCTTAACACTGCAGAACGGTTGGACCCTATTTGCGTCGTTACTGTATCGATTTCTGACATCTGACGGACGTGATGTCATATTGGGCTCAA